TTAATTGTTATTTAATTGATAAATTTAATGGTTAGTTTTTTCAATGTCTTTATTTATTTACTTGTCGTGTTTATAATCTATTTCCATAATTTATTTATATTTTATATGTATATTTTACTCTATAACCAGTTAACTTTATGTTAACATATAAGACGTGTACATATGACGAGCACAAGATATATACTTTGTTTTCATGCCACTCTGATGAGTCTGGGTAGTTCCCAGACGAAACGCGTCAGTGGAAACTATAGTGGACGGATGACGGATTCTAACACCAGTTTGGTGTTGTATAGTTTTTTCACATGATAAAAACTTTTGGACAATCTAACAACTTTGGACCAATCTAACATATTTTACATTTTATTATAACTACATTTTATTATAACTATGTATAGATTTATTCCATCGGTTATTTTGGGAGTGATGTATAGATAAAAAATGCAATCATGCAACTTTTGGGTGTGGATATGAGGGTGCTTCTTCTATGTGTAGATATCGTTATATTATCTGCATACGGAGGCCAGTATCATTATGTATACACTTATGGGCCTAATGTGCTTTTACGGAATGTTGGCATATTGGGTATTTGTGTAAAGTTTCTGCATTATATTATGTATAATGTAGGGGATTTACACATTCACGTTACATAATTTTACATTACAGTATCATTATGTATACACTTATGGGCCTAATGTGCTTTTACGAAATGTTGGCATATTGGGTATTTGTGTAAAGTTTCTGCATTATATTATGTATGATGTAGGGGATTTACACATTCACGTTATATAATTTACATCTGTCGATAGAATCAATTGCGGCTTTAAAGTCTACAAAAAACACGTACAATTTTTTCCCTTTTTCAACGTATAATTTTGCAATATTTGTCAGAATAAAAACATTGTCCACAGTTGAGTAACCTCGCCTGAAGCCTGCTTGGAATTCACTTAGTAGTTTTTTATCGTCAACCCAACTTTGCAGACATTGATGTAATATGCCTGTAAATACTTTTGCTATCGAATTTAAAAATGATATTCCTCTATAATTTTTTACTTCATGCGGATCACCTCCTTTAAATAGTGGAAAAACTATTGAATTTTTAAAACATCCCGGTACTTCTGCATTATCGTATATATAGTTGAAAATCTCTGTAATCCTTGTGATACCTTTAGCTAAAGCAAATTTTAAAAATTCTGCTGGAATTCTATCTTCACCAGGCGCTTTATTTTCTTTGCAACGCTCTAAAACCTCTGTTAATTCAACTACCTCGATTTTTTGTCTAATTCATTGATTTGAGTTAGTGGTTCTGCGTAGCTAAAACGACTTATATTCTCCGTTGTACTTAAAAGTTTTTCAAAATAAGTACCTAGAACGTCAGAATTAAGATGCACTGACTTACTGAAGTTTATGCCATTTACTTTACGTACATTATTCCAAAAGCTTTTGGAGTCTTTTACTGATGATAATGATAAGGCAAGATTATTAGTGTGTTGGATTCTTTTATTATAGCAAATAATTCTGTAACCGTTTTTGGCTGTCTTATACTCATTCCAATCTGAGACTAGGCCCCTTTTTCTCGCCATCTTTAAGTTATTAAAACAGTTTGTCCTTGCAATTTCACACTCTTTATCGAACCAATCTTTATTCCATTTTCTCTTCGTTGGCCCTTGTTGAAATGGACTAGTAGCTTCATTTATTGCTGTTGTAAGTGCTGCTATCATTTCATCAGCTGTAGCTTCACATATTACATTACTGTTCAATAATTGGTCAAGATTAATCTAATATAAGTTCAAATATTGTTTTTTCCATTTAAGCTTAGGTAGTAGTTAATTTTATTTACAATGTAGTCTACTTCATTTTCTAAGAAAGTTTCATACAATAAAAATACATCAAAATCATTTAAATACTTAAAAAAATCATTATATATTAGCTTATTTTTAAGACCTGCTACATTATATGATAAGATTTTACAAGTAAATTCTGTTTTTAACTCTACATTATTTTCTATATGAGCATTAATATTATTAGTTTCATTACTTCTGTGTTCACAATATCTTAAATATGCAGATTGTGAACTATTTAGTTTTTTGATTTTTCCAGTAAATAACTATAGCTTAAATCTAAAGTATCTATTCTATCACCATAAACTTTTTTTAGAACGTCATTAGCTGGCTGCTTATTATTTACTAAAATATCTGCGCTGTTGAAATACATCCATTTGCCGTCTATCTTAATGGAATCATTGCGTACAAATACCTTTTGACCATTGTCCAACGACATGAGCTGCTTTTTCAACTGCATTAAAGCCCGTTTTTTCTGAAGCTGCACCTCACTCAAATCTCTCTCAATATATATCTTTGAACCCACCAGTTTTTTTTTACTTCTGAGCACCTGCTGCGCCATCTCAGTGGTATCAAGACTTACGATGATGTTCATTTTATTGTTTTTTTCGTACATTAATCGCGTATTTTGAATTGATATATCGTAAAGCCCCAACTTATCATTGCATAGTTTTTTGAATGCGTTATTTGGCGATTCTTCTTTAACCATGCCTTTCACTATCAAGTTTCGCTTCTTCTTTTCTATAACTATTTTGTTGAGTTCTTTTCGATCCAGGTCTCTATCTTTTTTTAACTGCTCAACTTCCATCTTAAGCCTCTGGTTTTCGAACTCTTCAATTTTATTCAGCATTTGTTTTTTCATGACTTCGATGTCTGCTTTCGACGCTAGTTGTAGTATTTTTTTATTGACTTTGCTTTCACTGCTTTGGATTGCTTTTAAAATGTCTTGCAATGAAATGTCGGGCGATGTTTCAGCCAGTTTTCTTTTTGCGGATTGGCTTATCAAAGACGTATTCGGCGGTGTTCTTTCTATGTTGAATTAAGAATTAGAGTTTTTAGATACAAAATATTTTTTATGAAGCTATTAAAGTCTTTTCAAATATTATTGTTTAAACTTAATTTACGGTCTACTTTCAGGTATTTTACAACACAAGCACGTATAGTGGTGACAACAACCCCTGTTCTTAAAAAAAAAAAAAAACAAAAAAAGCTTGATAGTTAGTTTGAAAGCTGGTTTTGAATATCGGAATATAACACGGCGAATATAAATACTTTTCGCTTGTTTTTATAAGGAACTGTAATTCTGGTTCTTGTCTGGCGAAGTCTCAATTTTAAATCATAAAGTGCATTTACTTATTGGTTCACTTAATTCACTGAACTCAATAGCACTGCGTTAGCAGACACTTTTAATTGTTAGTAAATTTTCGAGTATCACTAATTAAACACAATTATACCAATAAATTTTAAAAAATACCCCGCGCTCGAGAACTTTTAATACTTCGCTTTATTAGGGTTACCAAATACTTTTTTTACTCAATTGTATATTTTCTCTATTTCTTTGTCTCTGTACTGATTAGCAATATATATCAGCTACCGAACATACAAATTACGTTCACAATTTTATGCACAAATTGAAAGTAAAGAAAAAAATAAACTCCCCAATAATAAAGAAAGCAATGGGATATCGTCAAATCACACGAAGAAATTACCTCTCGAATTGAAGTGTTGTTAATGTCGATTCAACCAACTAATTTACCTTGGAAAAAAAAATGGTAAAAAATTTAACTATCACACAATGCACTTGAAATTAATCTGAAAATTTCAAACTCACCAAAATAAAACGAATGATATCGAAGGGTATTTCCACTTCAATGTGTTTTTTTTCACAAACAATACTTGACATTAGCTGCGTTTCAGCAAACATGATCCGCTCAATTTTACATGCAAAACAAAAACAATGGGGTGAACCAGCAATTGATCTGGTTCACTTTCTGGTTCAATGTGGAATGTACGTAAAAGATAAGAGTGGAACGTATTTTAATGCAAATGAGGTTGGCAATGCGATGCAACGGTGTAGTAAAATTACAAACAAATAAATGTACATTTATATTTATTTATTTATTATTTATTTTATGTTCTTATTTATTTAGTATGTCATTATTATTTATTTCTTTATTTAAAGTAATGTTTTAATTATTACTATTACTATTATTACTTTAATTATTTACGTTTTATTATTATTAAAAAAGTGTTGTTTGATAATTTATTAAAATCAATTAATTTGTAATGAATATATATAAATTAAGTTGAATACATTTATTTAATTAAAACAAAACAATACATAAGGAAATAGACTCTCCAACATACATGTTTATAAAAAAACCATTGCAAACTGCCATCAAGTTTAAGCTATATTCATGCTTCCTTTTGAAATAAGCCTAATTGCTATAGTGAGGTGTATTTATTTTAACATGTGTGCTGTATATGCAACCAATCACGAACGGAAATTTTTTCGTATATTCCAATTTTGTACTATTAGCAAGTGCGTATTTTATAAATAAGTGTCTAATTGATATAAGCTAAACACTAGTTCTTTCAATTATTCTCCATACAGAAGATTTTGGTATGCCAAAACAAATTCCAAATTCGCGAAAAGTATTTATATTTGCCATATACCACAAAAAAATATAAATTTCCTTCATTGCTCTCGTCCAATTGTGACCACCACGGTTATTTTGTATTTGCTGATTGAATTTTATTATCAAATCTATTAAAATATGAAACATATAACACTTCGTTCAATAATGTGTGTGACTGACACATAGATGGCGACACTAATACTAAATAAATATTTTTTTTCGAAAGTGGCAACCTTTT